AAACCAGAGCTCTGAATACCAAATGATATGAATCACAAGGGTTGATTTAGGATCTTTAGGGTTAGAACCTTGTAAGAAATTTAAGAATTAGAAAGAAGGTGGAAGGAAAGAATCACTCTTCACATGGGAGGCAACACACAAAGGATGTGACAGTCCTTTGATACAGCCAAGGGTTCTTGAATCACTCAAGAATTTAGGAGAATCACTCTCACTAAGATAAAAGAGATAAACTCTAATATTTCTGAATAAAATTTCACTTGTTATTTCTTGATAAGAATGGTTCAGCTGATATAGAAGCGTTGCCATCAGAATTACAAAAGACTCAATAAAAGAAAATAAATACTAATAATAACTCATTAATCTAGGAATTGAAAACTATTTAATGGAAACAAATAAATGCTAATAATGATCCATTAACCTAGGAATTGAAACTACTTAATGACTAATTGTATCTGAAACTGTGGCAACCAAAAGTCAATCAGCTATGCACCCCTTGGTCTCCCAAAGGCTGATGACTAAATTTTCAATTGGGCCCTTATTACAACTTAAAACAAAATCAAACTAAAGTCCATTAATTGATTAATTCAAAACACAATTTGGTCAACCAACAATACTTGTTGAAGAGTTTCCTTTGTTTTCCTTGCTCTAGCCCTTATCATAGGTCATGTTCACATCAAAATTTAACTTGTATGGAAAGAAAACTAAAAATTGAATATATTTCAATATGTATCATTGAGAAGAATGATATCGATTTGTGTTCTATATTACAAAATCTTTAAAGAAACTTATAATATTTGATTTCATGAATAATAGAAATCACCCATCAATATAGTCATGGGAGGAACCATTAGAAATGAACAATATATAGTGAAGACTAATTGTAGTGACGAAAGAAATTGGAATTTTGTGGATCTCTTTTTGGTATTTAGTTTTTAACAACATTGCTTATAGTCACGTACATAATTTGGTATAAGCTGACACATCTAGTAGATTGAGTTGTGTGGATCTCACCCAAGACGAACAAACATGTCTAACTAAAGTTGTCACTATGACTATTGTGTTGGAAATCCAAACTAGAGAAGATCGATCGAAAGGAAAAAAAGAAGATAAAGGAATTTAAAAAATAGGGATATTAATCAAATTTGCACCTGTGGAGATCGATCTACCCCCACCCTGTTATTAATGAGGAAAAATCGAGTTGATTAGATTTGGATTTGGGTTCAAATTTTGTTCAGATTTAAGAAATCGGATTTAAGGGAAGGGGTATATAATGCAATACTCGTTTCGTCCTTATCTTTTACTCGACTTTATATTTAAAATTAAACCTTAAATATTCTAAATGTTTCTCTTTTCTTCTTATACTATACAAAACGTTGTTTCTTCTTTATTCTATACTCTTCACTTTTCTCCCACCCATTTTTCTCTCCTTTATTTCCCCTCAATTTCTTCAACTAGTTTGTCTTCTCTAATATCTTCAACTAGTTTGACAAACACATAAATATAATCTTTTATTTTTTATCTTTTTCTAAATATTGTACATCAATCTTAATAACCTATCATACAATTGTATTTCAAGTTTATCTTTATTAGATTTGATTATGTCATACAAGTTTTTAATATTCTTATTTATCATATATCAAATTTTAAGTTAATTAAATAATAATATCTTGAAAAATTGACAATTGTAAAAGATTGATCATTGAAACTTTTATTATTTTACCCTAATTCAATATAAATATGAATAAACTTATTACATATTTTATTATATATTATATATTTCATATTTATTAACCTAACAATAAACCTAAAATATGATTAACCTACATATAATAATCAAAGGTTTAAGTATATAGTTTTATAATATATAATAATAATAATGTTATAAATATTCCATATAAAAATAAAAATAAATGATCAAATATTTTTTATACATATATATCTAATATAAATACAATAAATTAAAATATATACTCAATAAGTAATAATAATTTAAATATTATAAAATTAGACATATTTATTTATGTAAAAAAAAACAATACTTAAAAATTAACATTAAAAGTAATTTATTACAATTAACGTATAATTATCTTTTTTAAAAGGATAAGTCAAAAGTGGGAAAACTCGAAACTTATGAAGATTCCATTTCTAATTTTGACTATGTTTAAGAGTGGGAGCCAGGTACACAAAACTCACATCTACACTACCATGTTTCCATGTTTATTGAAAAGATGTTCAAATTGAAATTAATATTTTAAAGGGGGAAGTAGAAGAAAGTAAGAAGGAATGGATAAATACATTTTATTTATATTTTTATTAATATATATTTATCTTAATTATTTATTTAATTATATATTGTTAATATAGTTTTTAAAAAACATATCTTTAATCAATTTATTAATTAAATTGTACACTTTATTAAATAAGATTAAAAGTTTTTGTTTAAAGAATTTCCTTAGTGAAGAATTCTATTGAATAAAAACGTCGAAGTTGTAACTGACTATTCAGAACAAAAAAAACACTTAGTTAAATATTGCAAACTAGAGTTTGTTGAAAAATCAAATTCTAAGGTAATTTATTATTTATTGGTCTTGTGTGCTTTTGTGCATTTCTTGTTATATAAATCCCTATATTTTTTTTGTCAAATTTAATTATTTTTTATTCTTGAAAATTGATTAATTAGTATTTTATTTTTATACTAAATTGAATATTTAGTATTGAGTTTTTAACTTATTGATGAAATTATTAAATATAATTTTTGTTTTTTATATCTAAATTTAATATTTAATAAAAAAATTTAATGTTATAAAATTGATTAAAAAACTAAATTCATAATTTTTGTAAGTTTGAGAACTAATTAATCAAAGTACATGACTAAAACCAAGTTTAATAATTGAGAAAATATAAGGACAAAAATATGTTTGACCCAAAATTTAAATATTTTAACTTATATTAAAAAACATAACTTTTTGTGGATTTTATGTATAATTTTTTTACTATAATTCGATTCAATATTTTACCAATAAACCTAGTTAAACAAGCCGATTTTAATATATATATATATATATATATATATATATATATATATATATATATATATATATATATATATTTTTTTTTTTTTAGTTTGCTAAATTTTACATTATTATTAGTTCTGTAGTTATTTACTTTGTTAAATCTTAAGTAGGTAAAATAGTGTCTATTACTCAGACTCTAGTTTTCATAAATATTTATAAAATTAGTTTTATTTAGAGGAATTCTATATAAAAGATATTATTTTAATATATTTTATACAACATATCATATAAGTATTATATTTATTAGGTTTATTAGTAACTAAAATTTTTGTCATTATTTATTATTCTTAAATCTTACATTATTCTTTTGTCTATATATATAATTTATTTTTTAATTAAAAATTAAAAAGTTATTAATTTAATTGAAATAGCTTAACCTTTTATTTGAATTGTAACGCAAACAAATCATTAAAAATTTGATAAAATAAATCATTCAATCCAAAATAATAAACGTCGATTCATAAATTTAATAAGCAATCTTTGGGAATTTTGGGGTTAGATAAATTGCAATAAATTAACAATTAATAACAAAATTAATTCTCGGTAAAAATATTATTAAAACTCATAATGAATACATGTAACATGGGAATTACAAAGAATGATCAAAACAAAATATGAAAAAAAAAATCCAAAGAGATAATTCAGGAAAATTCAATCACACCCATTTATCTTACCATAACAAACAAAATTTATGCTAAACTCTCTCCCCAATCAAAATCTCTTAAACTAAAATTAGTTATTTTAATTCTTAAACTAAAACTAGCACAATCTCCTAAAATTCTAATGACACAGTCCTCAAATATCAAAGGAGAGAGAGAAAAAAATTGGTTAAGCCCAAAGGGAGAGTGATGTGTTTATACACATGAAGTGTAAGACAAGAGTTTAGAGTTTTCTGGGCTAGATAGATTTAAAGCCCACACCAATTTTCTAACCATATTCAACTTTTGTTACCCAAATTTTATCTTACTTTTCATTCAACTTTATTTTTTAACTTTTATTTCATCACAATTTTATAGTTTGTTAACTTTAAATTTAGATAGCAACATTATGCAATTATCTTCTGAAAACTGGATAATTTCTAGAGACTTAAGATTAAACGAAAAACATGTTATCATGTCACTTGTTATTACCCTTCCCAAAAAACTATATTTCCAATACACCACCCTAAGAATAAACGTTTCATTACTGTTAAGCTACTTTTATTCTTATTTTCATTTACAATTTTAATAAAAAAACTCACCTTTCCAAAATATTTAAAACACATTCTTCCCTAAGTATCAACCCTACTTGCTTCCCATTGAAAACGTTAAAATCCAAACGGGACAACTAAAGCGACAACAACCTTGTACACATAGGTCATTTCTTATCATGTCCAACTCACTGTTCACTTCTCCCCATAACGAAAGAAACTTCCTCTGTCACGCGCCCATTAACCGACAAATAAAAAGATCAAACCTTTGAGTTTAACCAACCGGATGAACAGATCAAAACTTTTTCTCACACAACAAAACACAGAGTCCAAACCCCAGCAAACAGACTGAACAATAAACACAGACAAGCAAAAATAGACCATAAAACTCTTGGGACAGAAAAAAACAGTAAAACTAACTCATTTTTTTTCATTATGCTGCCTTTTATCTTTACAAAGCTCAACACAAACAAACCATAACAAACCCAAATACCACCAACCAACAAAACCAAAAATCATAAAAAGAAAACATGAAACTGAAAAAAAGAAGAAGAAAAAAAAGTAGAACAATGGATTAACAGGTCAGTAAGAAGGTGGAAGCAGAAGTGTATCCCAAAATGTAATGGAAGATGAGACTCTCACAGAGACCACTTCATCCCCTTTCTCAGCCTTTGATGATAATAATGTACCACTGTGTGATAAAACCCTTTTTCTTATTTTCATAGTTTGATGGATGACTAGAGCCAGAGAGCACCAGCTTCTTTGAGGAGAGGGACGAGAGTGCCATTGATGTGACATGCCATGACTCTGTCCATGGTTCCGACAAGCTTGCCACCAATGAAGACCACAGGAACAACGGAGGAGGAACCTAGGAGCCTCATCAAGGCCCGTTCAAGGTCCTTGCCTCGGGGATCCTCATCCAACTCATGCACGGTGGGGTTCACCCCCATGCCGCAAAAGAGCCTCTTGATGGCGTGGCACATGCAGCATGTACTCATGCTGAATATCACCACCGCGTTCTCCGATGCCAGCCTCTCTATGCGCTCCAGTGGGTCTCCCACCACTGCATTCCTTGGAGTCACATAGCTTCCCCACGACGCTGCAGCTTGGTAATGCATTTTCACAGAATGAAAGAGTGTTTCTCAAGGTGCTAGCTGGCCACAGAGAACGAGAATGAATGAAGTGAGTTTGTAACTTTGGTTTGGTGTTTGTGTTTGAGTTCTAAGGGTGATATTTATAGAAGTAAAGAACCAACGCTGCCTAATATCTTGTGTTTATTTACCCGAATATTATTATAATATGAAAAGTTGGTCTCACTCTCATCACTAGTCGTCACCTTATGTAAGAGAGAGACAGAAAGAGAGGGAGAATTTCATGTGATTATAGTAACTAACTACTTATGATTAATAGAAATTTCTATTTTGGCTTTAGAGTGTCATAGTCAATAATGAGGTTTATTTGCTTAATGTTGGGAGAGACAATTCTTCTTGGGGGCTATGATTATGGTAGGGGAAAAGGGTTTTCTCAATAATTCTCTTTTGGTGAGAGTTAGGGAGACAATATCAATATATTTTCTTAGCTAGACTAGATATATTAAGGCTAACAAACATAGTAAAAATTATAAATTAAGATGTATTAAAAGCATGTTCAATTTTTTTATTTTACTATGTTAAAATCTTTCATGTGGTCATTTTTAAGCGGTTTTTATTTTACCTTCTCATCTCTTTATTTTATTTATCATTTATATGCTAAAATTGTAGAAATAAAAAAATTATTAATTGAAGGGAGAAAAAAGAAGAAGAAAAAAAGACAGAGAAGACAGGCTTTAACAGAAGGGAGTTGTTGGGTAATAGACGGCTGAATCCGTCCTTGTTGTCGGCCCTACGCTAGCGATGAAAAGGCATGAAAGTCGCCATCACAAACCTCTCTTCTCTTCGTTCTTCTGTGTTTGCATTCCTTCCCATTCACACTTTATTGCATGTGAATTAACTTTTCCTCATTTACCATTTTGCTATAAAACTACTTTAATCCCTCAGACAAAGCGTGATTACCAATTTAAATCTTTCTATTACCCTTAACCTTTCTGTGCTCCCTAATTAAAGAAAGGTTAATGTTTTTTTATTGTTACTATTTCTTACCATAAAGATCTTAAATTCAATGAAAATACATCCACATGTTAAAAAATATTTTAAAAATATTAAATTTACACTTTAAAAAATAAAACTACTTAATGATGTTATAAATGTAACACTTTATTTTTACATTTTGATTAAGTTTGGTACTTCATGTTCATATTTGTTCATGGGAAAAATAATAACTAATGTGAAATTTTGAAACTCAGAGAAAGTAATTTTGTTTTGAAAAAATATAATATATATATATATATATATATATATATATATATATATATATATATATCAAATAATGTAGGACTTTTACAGCCTTGTCCTACGGAGAAGTATAATATATACCTATTTCTATCTTAAATGGAATAACTTTAAATTTGATGTATATGGAATAATATTTTATATTTTGAATGAAGTATTATTTGTTTATATAGGTTCAATTATGATTTTCTATTAATTTTTGAATTAAAAATTTAATGAATAATTTATTGTTTTTTAAAATATTTTTTTAGGTTGTTATAGTTATAATGCATCATAAGAGTTTCATTCAACTTTAGTGAATAAATTGTTCAACTTCAACTTATAGATAACATTGATATAAAAATCTGATATTTGTTAAATAATTAAATTTATAACAAAGTTAAAGTAAAAAAAAAAAAAAAAACTAACAACACATTCAATATTTTTTTCTCAATCTTTTTAAATCCATGTATATGGTTTTTTTTTCTGCAACAAAGCTTTTTGAATTTCTTATCCCAATAATCTTCAATTTGGTTTCATAATTACGCTATAATTAAAGTTTTGACAATCCAAAAATTAGGAAGAAGATCAGATGCAATGAAATAGAAGTGACCCACTTATTACATGCTGCCTAATCTAACATCAACTAGATCTTAAAATTCCAATGTTTGTTAAAATTTTACTAATACAAGTATATATACCTGACTAATCTGCAATTTTATTTTACATTTGGGCGGTGTCTGTGTCAAATGCAGCGAACTCAAGGAATAAAAGAACCTTTGTCATATATTCTTTCATCTATCACAATCTTACTTAGGTATCACAGGCTCAAAAGACATTTAGCTAAATTTTTAAACTTAATTATTTGGTTTGATATCTATATCTATCTATCTATATATATATAATATTATATTATGCATATCTGTATACTCTTTCAGTGGGTACATTTATTCTGGTTTGCACTAGTCATGAGGATAGGTGGAGTCTTGGAATAAATGTTATTCTCTTATTCTCAAGAGAAAAAGTAAGAATAGTACAGTGATCCAAAGTATGATATTTATAAACCACATGAGATTTATTGGATTGGATTGCGTTGTGGTGAGAGCTTCATGGGAATATTTGGTTTTATTTTAAAATGCAGGAGAGGAAAATTTACATACTCCATTATATTCTGTGGAACAAGGTGGGATTTTCTTTTTCCCAATCAATCAAGTTTTGTTCTCTTGCAAATTAATTAGAATTTAAAAGACGGAAAGATAAAAGAGCATGAGTTAAGCATGAAAATTTCAATTCAGTATCATTTATTTGCTTTTTTAAAAGGTAAAGAGACACTAAGATCACCAAAATTACTATTTATAATTATACAGTGTTGTAGCTAACTTGTAATTTCTTAGAAGCAGGGATAAGTATTTAACTAAATGGGCCACATGCTTTGTTTGTTCCTTTGGCTTACATCATGCATGCATCATACGTGTCCAGAAATGTACACAGCAGGGTCCAATTTTTAGACAGTGCCCTTTTCATCAAATTGGTTCAACACCCTCTGTGAAAGTATAATTTAAAATTTTCTAACAAGAATGCCAAGTTTCTCTTTTACTCTCTTGTCTTTTCTCTTTTATTTTCTAAAAACTAATACAGACACAAAGTAGTTGTTAATTAATTGCAAGCATTAATGTAATCAGTCAGGGAACTGTTACACCATTTTCATTGCAAGCTTTTCTGTTAATTGCATTAACAGAAACATAACCAGGCATGTTTTTGGGTGAGAAAGGATTATTAAATGGATGAAGGAGAATGAGAGAAATTTATGGTGGAAGAGAAAGATAATGATATTATTCGATTGATGTTGTCGGTTGTTTTCTTTTTTTCCACATAGATGAGTATTATGAGTGTGTGTGAGGTGTGTACTTGTATATGCAAAGGTGAAAGTAGATTGATATGAGTTGCAATGAATCTTTCATTTGGGTCAGCCTTTAAACAAGGGGAGTGTAGGTTGTAGAGTGGTCATGCTCAACAAAGCCTGGTGTCTGCATAAATAGTGGATATGGCTAGTACAAGTCTCTCCTTTCTAGTGACTGAAAAGTTTGAATGAAAGGATTGAAATGCCATAACATACATATATGCATGTACTTCTTCTATAGGTTACAAGATTAATATAGGACTTTTTTATTTAATTTTCTTTCACCTTTTCTTTGTTTCTTTAGGCCAAAGTTCTTGACAAAGTTTGATAATGGGATTCACCTTTACGGTCAGAAATAAATTAACGGTTTTAAAAGAAATAATCAAGGACTCTAAGGATCCATTCCAAGTTGATATGACTAATACTAAAATAGGGAAGCGAGTTCAAGAACCAAGGAGAGTTGGTTCTTGGAATTTTTTACCCAAAGAGAAAGTAAATGCAAAGCATAGTTTAATACAATAGTGTCTAACTTTTATCCTCAAGATTTTACCATTTCTAGTGGAACAAAGCAAAAGAGTGAAAAAAAGAAACTTAAAGGTAAGGAGTGCATAAGCTGAAAAACTTTACACGAACAGTCTCATCAACATGAGAACAAAGCAGGACCAATTATTTATGTTCTCTTGATCTCTCCCTTTCTCTTTCTGCATTTTTCTTCCTTTCTTCTTTGCACTAAGACGCAGGTCTTTTGTTCTTTTATGACCATAAAAAGGTTAAAACAAATAAAAAAGAATGAGTTCCAACATGCTACAGCATTCAAAACTTTAGGTCTATCATTGGCCTAACAAATAATGAAATTTGTCTTACGGTGGTATGACATCATTCAAATATAAATACTAAAAATTATTCCCTCTACAATGTTGAGTTGAGTATCTTTGCGTTAAATTCACTTCAGATGCTAATCATAATAACCCATGACTCATTCTTATATATACGGTGGTAGTTAGACTCACATGTGAAATTTATTTGGATTGTTCATCTAACGAAAATGGGTTATAGTGAGAACTATATAGTGTATTTGTCTGTTCTATTTCATTTAAAGCAGCATCAATTTATTCAATAAAAGAAGAGGTAAAAATGTTGGAAAATGGAAGGAGAGAATTAATGTGATGAGTGATAATGGTTGTTGGAGAAGGTAACGGCACACAGGAACATGTGACCGCACAAAGCCGGTGATACTGTTCTGGTCTGGTCACGACAACCCAATTGCGTGGTGTTACTGTTCTGGTCTGGTCACGACAACCCAATTGCGTGTCGGCCATTTCTTCCTATAATTCATTTCTCTGTTCCTACCTTTCTCAATTGCCTAACCACAAAACTAAATAATTAAAATATGCAGTTGCTATTGATTTTTAGATTAGTTTGGCTAATTATGTGTGACACTTTTCCTCCTGATATCAGTGCATCATCCATCACCTGCTGAATATGTTCCTGGTTTTAAGAGCTTATCATTTAGTCCTTTCTACTGAATATTGACAAAGTTGCATGGTTTAAGATTATATATCTTCAGCACAGGTGTAATAAGCATATTTGATTTGGACATAATCATTTTAAATGTGAAAGTAGTTGAATGAGATTTTTCTGTGAGAGATATTATACAAATAATTATGATTAAAATATAAAAATAAACAATTTGTTATTTGAATTATTATCAATTTATAAAAATTATTAAAAAGTAATAAAATGGTCCTGATATGCTTACTTTTTCCTCTCCAATCCAAGAAATTTGTTCTGCAAGTCCGTGAGCATTGTAGGCGGAGAATATATTATAACTGATGCATAATCTTATCATATCTATCTGTCATGAATTTGAATATCCTATATGGTTTAAGAGAGAATATAATAAGTAGGTGTGATTTAAAATAAAATAAAATAAAATAAATTAATATGTTAAGTAATTCTTTAAAAAAGAATCTTATAATTAATATTATACATTATTTTACTTTTAAAAAAATATTTCTATGGATTAAATTTGGACTTTCTTATCATTTTGTATTTAGATAGGTAATTAGTATTTTATAAAAACAATAAGAAGAAAAAAAAGGTTTAGTAAAATATTTAAAATAAAATAAAAAGTAAATTTGGGGAGAAGTGTCTTTTTAGTATTTTTGAAAAAGAGAAGAAAAGGAGTGGTGGAGTGTGAAAGAAATGGGAGACAAGCATGGTTGGATGGCAGGCGTGGGAGTGATAAGTGAGTGTGGAAAGTACAGAATCGCGCAAGCGGCGCATAGACACAACGCAACGCAAGATTGGGTGCATTTCTTCTTTTTATTTGATTTGAGCGTTTGAAGCGACTTGAGGTGAGACATTCATTTCACTTCCCACAAATGATTCAATTCAACTTAATTCACTTAATTAAGCAACAATTATATATATAATTAAAAATTTAGCATAATAATAAATTTCTTATTCTTTATTTTTATAAAGTGCATGGTTAAAATATATTTTTCTTAATTTATTCACAAACAGTCAACCCCTCCTATTTGTATTTCATTTGTTGAATTATTATAAATTATATTATACTTTTTACACAATTTTACAGATAAATAATTTTTATATTTATATTTAAAATTTATCACTTTAAATTTTTCTATGTGTTGTTTCTAATTTTTTCAATGAAAATTTAAACAATAAAAATTAATAATTTTAAAGAAGAAAGATTAAAAGAAAATAATTGTATATTATAAATACTAAATGAATAATTAAACATATAACTCATAATATTTTTTATAATATCTTTCTCTTAATTTTATAACATTATTTATTTTATTATATGTTTTTACTTTAATACTTATTTATCTTTTTTTCATCTAATATTTTAAAGGGTTAAATTTACTTATATTTTCTATAATTTTAGGGATGAGTAACTTCAGTCCCATTATAAAAAAATAAATTTAATTACATTATATTAAAAAAACCTTAAAATTAAATCATTTTAATCAAGCCTTAACATGTCATATAATTATCAATAACAGTAATATCAATTTTTATTAATAATAAGATTTATCAATGCAGGTTGACATGTAAACATAAGATATATATTAGCATGAATTAAATTTATTCAATTTAAAAAAGTTGAAGATCAAATATATAATAAAATTTTTATAAAAATAAAAAAAATATAATTAAAACTATAGAGACAAAAATAAAACAAGCATGCGTTATATTGTTACAATTTTCAATAAAAATAAGGACAAATATTATTTATTAAGTTTTAAACTAAATTTTAATTTAAACGTGGTATTCATTTTTTTATTTAAAAAAAAAACAAATATTAGCATGTAATACAATAATCAAGTGAGTGAATTTAACAAATCAACTTAATTCATCTAAAATTTTTTGATCAACAAAATAGATAGATTGGGGTTGAGTTATCTAACCGATTTTTTTTTTATCTAACCCTTTAATATTTTTATTTTCGTTTATATGTTTTTATCAAATTTAAATATGACAAATTTCATCCAAACAACTTACTTTCTAAGTTTTTTTTAACCTGTCTATTTGTATAAAAACAGGACATAAATTAAATAATATAATTATCATCCATATTTGTATTAAAATAACTATTAATTAATTCCGTACTGTATCACCTTCACTGCATTCTTCCTTCTATATGTTTAAACATGTAACAGTGAAAAGGCAAAAAATATTCTTTAAAAAAGTGAACAGATTAATTAAACACAATAAATAAGTATTATAGTATGTGTATGGATATAAGTATAACATAGTGAATGGAGCAAAGTGATTGGCAATGAAGATGACGAAGGTCGTAGGTTATCCATGAAAATAGTTGATGGTTCTGATGGAAGCACCGAGGACCCACCTCTTAAGAAGAACAACATCACAATGTTCCTAGTCCTAGGCTAATTAGGATGTCGTCTGCACTGTCTCTCGGTCTCCTTAGCCACTTTGATTCGGTCATTCAGTTTTATGATTTATTTATTGCGTTTTTAATTCTTTTGGATTTGTGATATATACTCAGCAGACAGGGTTTTGCACACTTGACACTATCACAGCACGCTCTCAACCAAACCTCACTTAATTAACACATTTGCTACACTCTCACACCCTCTCTCTCACACGTACATACCCACAAAGAAAGAGACATAAACCCAAAGAAAAAGACACGCCCATACGTAGAAAAATAATGGTGTCGTCATGGCGATGATTTGCGAGAAGCAAAGTCTGACGCAAACCCAACTTTGTTTTTAACACTACAGAAAAAGTAGGACCAAATCAAACCCTAGTTCACAAACATTACATATTCAAAACTCTGGTTGAGCCGTTAAAGCAAGAGACATGACGGCTTTTCTCAGCTTTTGTTCCTCAACTTTCTTTACCGGCTGACGTTAGCCCATCGTTGACTGCTTTTTCTCATGCCCCATATTTTTTATGTTTCTTCCAAAAACACATTGTTTACTGCTTGTTATACTAAGGGCTTTTATTATGTTATTAGGGTAGACTTGTACTGTTTTAAAAACAATTTTTTTTAAATTAATCATAATTTCAATAGCAATTTGTAAACATTTCCCATAAATTTATCATACCAGTGTTACAAAATCATCAAACACCAAAACAAACAAATATAATAATATATTTTAGTGCATTTTTTATTTCATACTGGTGCAGAAAGATCTTTCACATATATTTATTTTATTATTATTTTTATTCATGCTTTCACTCTATCACACCAACACTATCTATTTTTCATATGCATTAGTTTTTTCATTCTATCTATCTTGTATCAGTACATCTTTCCATGTGTGTATAGAATTGAGAGTGTTGGGAAATAATTTATGCTGCATTATATGCATGTTTGCACTTTGTGTTTGTCGTTTTCACTTTGAACAGCAACACAGCAGCAGCATGCAACAGTCCCACAGCACCCGAGAAACTGAGCAGAACAAGTTCCATTCCTATAATAATCTTGAGAGGGTGAGAGAGGGGATACAACACCCAATGCCATGTTCATGCCCCTCTTATTTTTAGGAATCTAATGGCAACTTTTTCAGTATTAAATAAACATTGTGTGCCTTTTCTACCTCTTTTGCTAACTATTTTATTTCTGAGTTCTACCCATTGAAGCATAAAGCAGTGAAGTCAAGTATGTATATCCCTCAAGGGTGTATCGGTGTTGGGATCTGGCGGTGCTTTTGTCTCACCTTGTGTTTCCACAACTGTCATTCAGTTTCACTGTTTCAGGGTATGTCTGTCTGTCCATGTGCTGTTTGGGAACCCAAATATCATATCCATATTCCGGATTGGTGCACTTCCCTTTCACTCAACAAAATGGTGTTTTATTTCTCAGACAACTCTCTCTTTCATGCCTTCCAAACTCTAAAACATTACCATCCATTTTGCACACCATGTCTTGTTTAGTTGAACGCATGCATGCATGGCACATGCTATGCTCAAATACATGTTTATATGTAATAATGCATAGTCCACTACACACACACAAAGGGATGGTTGCATAAGATTAATTCTTTTGAGTTCATTTGTAAGCCAATGGAAACCAAAAGGGACCTTTTTTTGTCAGATAAAGGGTTCTACTTGACCACTTGGAGAAAGTAAGGGTGAGAGAGAAGGAGGACTAGGAAGGATCATTATATATAGATAGATACATACACTACACATCTTTAAGGTGGGACTTGACTTGAGAGAAAAAGGCATAGGTCACTCTCTTATTTTGTATCCCCAACAAACTTTTGCTAGGTTTCTAAACAGCTTTTTAAATTCTTTTATATATATTTTTTATCTTTTGCAATACACATTTGGGTTTGGTCTTAATTAGTAACCTTTGAAATGAAACCATGTTATAATCCCCAAAGTCATGGGAACTCACATTGACCCTTGATTGACTAGAAAAGGTATAGAGGAACAGATAATCTTGATCACAGTCAAATTAAGATTCAAAGGAGTATCATTTTGACATGTTCTTTGTGCTGTAGATCTTATGTTATCAGAGTGTGGATAATGCCCTCTATTCTCTGTCCCCTGCCACGTTCACTAACTCTCCTACTTCACCTTGCTTTTTAGGCTTTTACTCTCTCTTTTTTTTTTTTTTTTTCCTGTTTAAAGTTTAACTATACATAAATAGTGATTAAAAAATATTAGATATTTAGTTTTTATTATTGTTGTCATTATTTTTAATTTAATGATCTAAAATAATAATTTATTTTTATTATTAAATTATTAAAAAATAATTCTCTAAAATCGTATTTGTTTATTATTTATAAAAGGAGATTTTAATTTAAAAATTAAAAATTGTTTGATAATTATTTTCTTAAAAATTTTAAAAACTAAAAAAATAAAAAATTATAAAAAGTATTTTTTATTTTGGTTTTCTTTTCCTATTATAAATATCAATATTTTTACTCATAATTACATTAAATTGTTCATTTTTATTAATATATTTTTCCCAAAAATAAATTTTTCTACTAATTTCATTTTTTTTACTTGTTTTTAAAAATAATTTTTTAAAATTACTTTTAAAAACTAAAAAAAAAAACAATACTGAATTAAAATTACGCGTGAATTTACAATGAAACCACACTTTTGTTGCCTAGCAGCGATAGATAGATAGTTGTGAATCTAATTGTTAACTATACACTTTTGTGAATGACAGAACAACTGTTTATGATTATTATTATTATTATTTTCTAAAATTAATCAAAATCAATTTAATTATATATTTTTATAAATAAATCTTTCTTAATTACTTAAACTTTTTCTCTGATAATATATTTTTTAAAAGTTTATTTGATAAATACAATTTACTCAAAAATTGTTTTATAACATTTTTTAAATTTGATTTTATAAATATAATTCCTTAGGTCCTTTATATTAAAATATAAATAGGATTTATTTTTCAAAACATAAGAATATAGTCTGAAAATAGAGATATAAAAATAGAAAAAGAAAATAGAGAAACTATTTATTTACATTTTATCAAATGAAATATCAATAAATAAGGTAATCCCAATTACAAATATTTGAATCTTAGACTAATAAATATTAATAAAGGAGAGAATATGTATAATTATTCATTAATAAACATAATGTATTAATTTCTTCCCTATTTGTGGTTGTATGTTCTTCTACAAGGAAAGTAGAATTTTGAGAGTGATTAGTGTCAAAGAAATTAGTGAAATCAAAATATTTCCTTTATTAAGTAACAAGATGTATCTATGACCTAATTGTTTTATTTTCTACTCATTAAAAAAGAATAGGAAGTATAAAAAAAATTGTATTATAAAATTATTATATGTTAAATAAATGATTATTTATTTTTTATATTTACAAAAAAAATATATATATATATATATATATATATATATATATATTCTAAATATATTTTTAAGTATGTTATCGAATAAACCATTTATGTTAGCTATTATCATCGTTAATACGAAGAAATTTTAATCTTATGAAAAAGTTTCTCCTAACAAAAATTATATATATTTTTATTTATCCCATTTAACATATCATTCTTTCCACTAAGCAATGCATGCATTCTTATTTTCATGTATGATAGTTAAAAAATTATATCTCACTAAGAGTATATCTATTTATTGGAATGTTTAAATAAAGTATTAGTTTCTTAAAATAACTCTTGGAGGAAACCTACGTGACATAATAAGTGTTTAAATATATCTTATAATTGTTTGAAATAACTTATAAAAATAAGTAAATCAAAATAAACAATGAGAGAAAATAGAAGAGAAAATAGAAGAGAAAATAAGTTTTTTTTTATTTATTAAGAAAGTTTTTAATGGAATAAAATCAATAATGAATTACTAAATGATGTATCATTACAAATCCCTGTTTTACATTTTTCAAATTAAGAAGTAACTTGACTAGGTTGCTCTTGTTGGAGATGACCTAATAATCTTTTAGTAGATGTTATATTAAATTGAGTATAATAGTAAGATATATTAGTGCTTCTATAATATTAAGATATGATACTTTATCTATAAGAAATTATTAATTTATAAAAAAAATTATCGACAAGTTTAAGACTGTGAATAAATTCATATGAAGAATAGGTGAAAGTATTTCGTCAAAAAATTTGTTAAAAAAATCAATACCATAAAACCATAATATGTTTGAAGACCTATATCAATGGATAGTAAAAAAAACATTGATAATGACATTTAGGTAATTGATAAATAAATTAATTAATTAAATTAATTAAATTAAAAAATTTGTAAAATCTCATTTTTAAAAGTCATTCTCACACAAAAGTAAAATGCATCCCTCAAACTCCAACCCAAATTGATGAAGGACCATTTATGAGAAAACACAATAAACCCTTACAAGGTCTATGGTTAAGAAGTACCTTTCAAGTAACATAACAATCACTTGATAGCTTCTCAATGTTTCCTTCTTAGATTAGACATAAATATATTAACAACTCTCACTGTATGAATAATATCTAATCTAGTGCATATCATTGCGTACATTAAGTTACCAACAACAGATACATAAGGAACCTTAGTCATTGTTGTTTTGTCTTTATTTGTCTTAGGTGACTCTTCCTTAGTGAGATTAAAGTAAACTCTCAAAAGTGTATTTACGATTTTCGCATCCTACATATTGAATTTCTCTAACACTTTCCCATTATACTTCGCTTGAGATACTATTAGGGAACCTTCAAATTTGTTTCTATTAATATTCAAGCCCAAAATTTGCTTTGCAATACCCGAATCTTTCATCTCAAACTCTTGAGACAATTGTGCATTTAATCTATTAATTTCATTCATATTAAAACCTACAACTAAGATGTCATCAACATACAATAGTAATATATAGGATGAACAAAAAATTTTCATATAACAACATTGATCCATGACACACTTCTTGTACCCTTTCCTATTAAAAAACTATCAAACTTTAAGTACCAATGTTTTGATGCTTGCTTCAACCCATACAAACTCTTGGTCAACTTGCAAACCAAGTTCTCTTCCCTACAACTTGGAAATCTTCTGGTTGCACCATCTAGATGTCCTCGTTAAGGTCACCATGTAAGAAATGTTGTCTTACATCTAGCTACTCTAGATGTAAGTCCTCTACAACCACAATACTTAACAAAAGTCTAATGGTAGTCATTTTAACTATAGAAAAAAAATATTTCATTATAGTCAATACCTACTGAAAGCCTTTCGCCATTAATATTTCCTTGTATCTCTTGCTGCCATCATATTCTTCCTTGATCATAAACACTCACTTGTTCTGTAATGCCCTTTTTCCTACTGGTAGGTCAGTCAAACATCAAGTTTTATTTTTCTCAAGTGAGTTCATCTCCTCTTGCATGGCTAACTCCCATCGAGTTGCATCATCCATCTATAATGCCTCATGATAACACAAATGTTCTCCATCGTCAGTCAACAACAAGTAATTTTCTAAAGGAAAAAATTTGTGAGAAGGCTTAATAACTTTATTGGATCTCCTCACTTCAACTACTGGGTGACAAGAGTGGTCTTCTCAACAGTCTTATCTCCTAAGCTCCTACCTTTTTTCTTGCAAGATTGTCTTTTGTAATATCCTCTAACACTACACACTTTTCTTCTCTATTGGCTTCTTTTCAACTTCAACTTTTGTCTCAAGTCTGTCATTGCACACTGCATTCTCATTAAATGTAACATCTTTGCTTCTAATGATCTTTTTGTTTTAATCATCCCATAAGCAATATCCTATATCATTTGTTCCATAACTAATGAAAATGAACTTTCTTGCTTTCGGATCAAACTTGTTCCTGTCAACATTGTTAACATGAACATAAGAAACAAAACCAAATACTTTCAAATGAGAGAGACTTACATCCTTGTCTTGCCATTCCTCCTCAGGAATTTTGAATCCTATGGAAGCTGAGGGTCCTCGACTAATGAGATATGTTGTTGTGCTTACTGCATCTTTTCAGAATGTCTTTGGTAACCCTGCATGAATTCTTATACTCTTTACCCTCTCATTCAAGATCTTGTTCATTCTTTCAGCAATACCATTCTACTGAGGTGTCTCAGGAATAGTTTTAAACATTCTAATTCTATTCTCAGCACAATAATCAACAAATTCAGTACCATTCTACTGAGGTGTCTCAGGAATAGTTTTAAACATTCTAATTCTATTCTCAGCACAATAATCAACAAATTCAGTACTACCACTACAAAAAAAATGTTTATTATCTACGGGTAAAATCCGTAGGTAATGTCACTTTACCTACGGATTTCTTTCCGTAGAAAATCCGTATGTAATTTGGTCGTAGGTAACCCTCCCCTTTATATTATATTTTTATTATTTATTATATTTTCGGAACTTTGAAATATTATTAGATTAAGGGAATTGTCATTGGCGGGATTCAAACACGAGTACCTCGAGTTGGAGGCTAATACTCCAACCACTAAGCTATTAGGATATTTTGATAATAATTTACAAATAAATTATATTTATATTTATCCGTGTAAATATATAAATATAAAATATAAAATATATTTATATTTATATATTTATATTTATATATTTATGTATTTATGTATTTATATATTTATGTATTTATATATTTATGTATTTATATATTTATGTATTTATGTATTTATGTATTTATATATTTATATATTTATATATTTATATATTTATATATTTACACGAATAAATATAAGTATAATTTAGTTGTAAATTATTATTAGAATATCCTAATAGTTTAGTGGTTGGAGTATCGGTTTTCAACTTTAAGGTACTCGGGTTCGATTCTTGCTAGTGACAATTCTTTTAGTTTAATATAATTTACCTACGGATAATAATTCTGTAGGTAATATCCGTAGGTAATGTAAAATTTACCTACGGATTTTTATCCGTAGGTAATAGGCTTTTTTTTGTAGTGTACTATATTCACCATCATGATTAGACTTTAAACATTTAATTTTTAACCTTGTCTCATTCTTAACAATGACTTTCCACTTCTGAAAGGTATTAAATACTTCTAATTTTTTCTTTAAGAAATAAATTCATACCTTCCTAGTGGAATCATCAATGAAGGTGACATAGTATCGTAATCCTCCCCATGATGAGACTGATGTTGGCTCATACACATCTATATGAACAAACTCTAACTTCTGTACCTTGGGCATCCTCCCTAACTTAGTAAAATTAACGCTTTTCTGTTTCTCAAACACACATGTTTCACAAAAACCAACTTCTACCTTTATCAGTTCTGGAATCTTCTCTTTTGAAACTAGTATCTTCATACCCTTCTCGCTCATGTGACCAAGTCTTTGGTGTCACAAAATCGAAGAATGACTAACATCATCACTAATTGAATTTACTTCTTCTGCAAGTAATTATGCCATGTATATGGTCTTTTCTTCTAGCCATGAGCAACAATTAGATTATCCTTCACCACCTTCCACTGACCTTCTCCAGATATGACTCGATATCCTTGAACATCCAACATGTCCATAAATATTAACATTCTCTTGAGTCTTGAATTATATCTAACATCCTTCAGAGTTCATACTATACCCATATAAGTTTTAAGATTTATATCTCTCATGCTTGTGATGTATAAAACTTCATCATCTGTTAGACGCATTTTGCCAAAATTCCTACTTCTAAAACTTTTCATCAAATCCTTGCAACGAGAAGCATGAAAAGATGCACCAGAATCCATAATCCAGGATTCAAACTTGCTCTTAACACAACATATTAATGCATCATCACTATCTTCTTATGTTGCTTCTTTTCTTTAGGAGCAGTACACTAATTCCTAAAGTATTTTTTCTACTAACAATTCCAACAAGTAATATCCTTGCGAGTTTTTTACTGTCCTCGCTTCTTAGATTTGATCTATCATGCTCAGAGCCTTACCCCTCTTTCAACTTTTCTACATCTACCTTTGGTGCTTAATAAGGAATTTGTTGATTCTTCGACATTTCTTTTAGGAACATCCTCATTAAGGATTAAATCCTTAAATCCTTCAAAGGTAAATTTCGTAGTCTCATATCACTACAAGAAAATTGCAAATTTCTAACAGATTTTTACCGACGGATTTGTAGCCGTCGGAAAATGAGTCATTACCGACAGATATAAATCATTTGTGAAATTTGGTCTTACCGACGGATATATCCTTCGGTAAATTAATAATTAGTTACCGACGAATATATCCGTCGATAAATCTATTGGTAAATTAACAACTATTTACCTGCGGATATATTCATCGGTAAATTAACAATTAGTTACCAACGAATATATTCAGTCGGTAAAATTATATAATAATTACTTAATTTTAAATATATTATAATAAAATAATTATTCACCTAATTAAAAAATTAAATATTTTTTATTTAATAATTTAATTTAATCATAATTAGATTAATTTATAATAATTTATTAAATTAAATAAATTTTAAAAATATATATTTAATTATATATAAATATATCAAAATAGATAAATATATTAAAATATATAAATAAATATATATATATATATATATATAAATATATAAATATATAAATATGTAAATATATAAATATATAAGAATGCAATAAATAATAAAAATATTTCTGACGAATTTCTGTCCGTCGATAATTTTGTACAACATTTACCGTCAAATTTTGACCAGTTGATATTTCCGAGTATTTCTTGTAGTGTATGTATCGGCTACTACCAGTGAAAGTTCCCGACCAATTATCGGTATTGAATATAACAATAACAAGACTTGTACTTCATCAATAAATTTAATATCCATTGACATTAATCTTGACAATAAGGAACTGTTTAATAATGCATTTATCAAATCATATGTCGTCTTCTCGTTGATGATATTATAGGAAACATTGTTTGCCAATTTAATCTTATGATACCCAAAGCCTGTTGATCTAGCAACTCTCAATCTGCTTTAGACATCATTTTTGGTTTATGCTCAAACAGAGACTTGTGCAACTTTTTCTGTTACAAATAATCTTCAATCTACATATCACAAAATCCGAAATCGCTTCCATCAAAATTTTCAATCTCCATTTTCTCGTATCCTGTCATTGCTTCCACTCGCATGAAA